GCGCCCAATTCCCTGTGGCCAATTTAGCAAGGAAAGCAGCCCCAAGAAACGGTATAGGCCTTGCTTGTGTGTTTGTTTATGTTATACAGCAGGTTCTATTCCTCGACTTATGTGGGATTGTGTCAAGTTCATTCATAAAAACCCTGGTAGTCATTTCGGTAGACCAGCAGTAAATGTTTTGTTTTTGTCCACGCTGGCTCCAGCTTTGCTTTGCACCAGTGGAGTCAAAATCACCTGCACCAACTGGTCCATGCTTGAAGGGCATGGTACTTAGGTTAGTATATTGATTATTTTAACGCCTCCGGCTCAGGCCGCCGACATTACAGGCCTGCTTTCTTATTTGCGTCCCTTTCGAATTGCCCCCTTGCCCCCTTCCCCTCTGAAATTTTTGCCCCCCTTTCTTTGTTGAGATCCATTCCCCCTTTCCGCCCTAAGGCCTTTTCTCCCTCTGTTTTTTTCCCTTTTCCTCCCTAAGATGTTTTCCCCCCTCTCCCTGTTGAAATCCTTTCCCCCCTTTCCCCCCTAAGGCCTTTTCCCCCCTGAGATCTTCTCCCTTTTCCTCCCTTTCCCCCACTTTCCCCCCTACGGCCTTTTCCTCCCTGGGATCTTTTCCCTTTCCTCCCTGAGATCTTTCCCCCCCTTTCCCTGTTGGAATCCTTTCCCCCCTTTCCCCCCTACGGCCTTTCCCCCCGCTGAGATCTTCTCCCTATTCGTCCTTAAGATCCTTTGCCCCCTTTCCCTGTTGAGATCCTTTCCCCCCTTCCCTTTAAGGCCTTTCCAGATCTTCTCCCTTTTCCTTCCTAAGTTTGTTTCCCCCCTTTCCCTGTTGAGATCCTTCCCACTTTTTCCCCCCTCAGGCCTTTCCCCCCCTGAGAGCTTCAGCTCCCTTTTCCTTCCTTAGATCTTTCCCCCCTTTCCCTGTTGGCCTTTTTTCCCCAAGATCTTCTCCCTTTCCTCCCTAAGATCTTTTCCACCCCTTTCCCTGTTGAGATCATTTCTCCCCTTTCCCCCCTAAGGCCTTTGCCCCCAGATCTTCTCCCTTTCCTCCCTAAGATCTTTCCCCCCCTTTCCCTGCTCAGATCCTTTCCCCCCTTTCCCCCCTAAGGCCTTTCCCCCCCTGAGATCTTCTCCCTTTTCCTCCCTAAGATCTTTTGCCACCTTTCCCTGTTGAGATCCATTCCCCCTTTCCCCCCCTAAGGCCCTTTCTCCTTTCCCTCCTTTCCCCCCTAAGGCCGTTTTTCCCCCCGCGATCTTCCCCCTTTTCCTTCCTAAGATCTTTTCCCCCCTTTCCTTGTTGAGATCCTTTCCCGCCCTTTCCCCCCTAAGGCGTTTTCCCCCCCAAGATCTTCTCCCTTTTCCTCCCTAAGATCCTTTGCCCCCTTTCCCTGTTGAGATCCTTTCCCCCCTTTCCCCCCTAAGGCCTTTCCCCCCCTGAGATCTTCTCCCTTGTCCTCCCCAAGATCTTTTCCCTTGGTTGAGATCCTTTCCCCCTTTCCCCCCAAGATCTTCTCCCTTTTCCTCCCAAGGATCTTCTCCCACCTTTCCCTGTTGAGCTCCTTTCCCCCTTTTCCCCCTAAGGCCTTTTCAGATCTTCTCCGTGTTCCTCCCGAAGATCCTTTGCCCCCTTTCCCTGTTGAGATCCTTTCCCCCTTTCCCCCCTAAGGCCTTTTCCCTGCCTGGGATCTTCTCCCTTTCCTCACTGAGATCTGTCCTCCCCTTTCCCTGTTGAGATCCTTTCCCTCCTTTCCTTCCTAAGGCCTTTCCCCCCGCTGAGATCTTCTCCGTATTCCTCCTTAAGATCCTTTGCCCCCTTTCCCCGTTGAGATCCTTTCCCCCCTTCCCTTTAAGGCCTTTCCAGATCTTCTCCCTTTTCCTTTCTAAGATTGTTTCCCCCCTTTCCCTGTTGAGATCCTTCCCACCCTTTCCCGCCTAAGGCCTTTCCCCCCCTGAGAGCTTCTCCCTTTTCCTTCCTTAGATCTTTCCCCCCTTTCCCTGTTGGCCTTTTTTCCCGCAGATCTTCTCCCTTTCCTCCCTAAGATCTTTTCCACCCCTTTCCCTGTTGAGATCATTTCTCCCCTTTCCCCCCTAAGGCCTTTGTCCCCAGGTCTTCTCCCTTTCCTCCCTAAGATCTTTCCCCCCCCCCTTTCCCTGCTGAGATCCTTTTCCCCCTTTCCCCCCTAAGGCCTTTCCCCCCCCCTGAGAGCTTCTCCCTTTTCCTTCCTAAGATCTTTTCCCCCCTTTCCTTGTTGGGCTTTCCCCTCTAAGTCCTTTTCTCCCAGATCTTCTCCCTTTCCTCCCTAAGATCTTCCCCCCCCTTTCCTCCCTAAGATCTTTCCCACCCTTTCCCTGTTGAGATCCTTTTTCCCCCTTTCCCTCCCAAGGCCTTTCCCCCCCTGAGAGCTTCTCCCTTTTCCTTCCTAAGATCTTTTCCCCCCTTTCCCTGTTGGCCTTTTTTCCCCAGATCTTCTCCCTTTCCTCCCTAAGATCTTTTCCACCCCTTTCCCTGTTGAGATCATTTCTCCCCTTTCCCCCCTAAGGCCTTTTTGCCCCAGATCTTCTGCCTTTCCTCCCCAAGATCTTTCCCCCCCCCCCCCCCGTTCCCTGTTGAGATCATTTATTTCCCCCCTTTTCCTTCTAAGGCCTTTTCCCACCCTCAGTTCTTCTCCCTTTTCCTCCCAAAGATCTTTCCCCCCCTTTCCTCCCTAAGTCCTTTTCCCTTGAGATCTTCTCCCTTTTCCTCCCCTAAGATCTTTTGCCACCTTTCCCTGTTGAGAGCCTTTCCCCCCTTTCCCCCCTAAGGCCTTTTTTTCTCCCCACTTTCCTTGTTGAGATCCTTTCCCCCCCTTTCCCCCCTAAGGCCTTTTCCCCCCAAGATCTTCTCCCTTCTCCTCCCTAAGATGTTTTCCCCCCTTTCCCTGTTGAGAACCTTTCCCCCCTTTCCCCCCTAAGGCCTTCTCCCTTTGCCTCCCCAAGATCTTTTCCCCCGGTTGAGATCCTTTCCCCCTTTCCCCTCGAGATCTTCTCCCTTTGCCTCCCTAGTATCTTTTCTCCCTGTCCCTGTTGAGATCCTTTCCCCCCCTTTCCCCCCGAAGGCCCTTTCAGATCTTCTCCCTTTTCCTCCCTAAGATCATTTGCCCCCGTTCCGTGTTGAGATCCTTTCCCCCCCTTTCCCCCCGAAGGCCCTTTCAGATCTTCTCCCTTTTCCTCCCTAAGATCATTTGCCCCCGTTCCGTGTTGAGATCCTTTCCCCCCCTTTCCCCCCCAAGGCCTTTTCCCCCCCCTGAGATCATATCCCTTTTCCTCCTTTTTTCTCCCTAAGATGTTTTCCCGCCATTCCCTGTTGAGATCCTTTCCCCCCTTTCCCCCCTAAGGCCTTTTCCCCCCTGAGATCTTCTCCCTTTTCCTCCCTAAGAGCTTTTCCCACCTTTCTTTATTGAGATCCTTTCCCCCCTGTCCCCCCTAAGGCCTTTTCGCACCCTGAGTTCGTCTCCCTTTGCCTCCCTAAGATCTTTTCCCCCCTTTCCCGCTTAAGATCCTTTCCCCCGTTTCCCCCCTAAAGCCTTTTCCCCCCAAGATCTCCACCCTTCTCTTCCCAAAGTCTTTTTCCCCCTTTCCCGTTTGAGATCCTGTCCCCCCATTGCCCCGTAGGGCCTGTTCCCCCCGAGAAAGATTTCCCTTTTCCTCCCAAAGATCTTTTCCCCCCTTTCCCCCTTAAAGCATTTTTTCCCCAGATCTTCTCCCTTTCCTCCCTGAGATCTTTCCCCCCCTTTCGCTGTTGAGATCCTTTCCCCCTTTCCCCCCTTCATTTCCTTCACCAGCATGGGCGACATCCCCAGCATCACTTGCATCATCCGCATCCTTGGCAGGCGCTGATGCGGATGATGCAGGTGATGCTGGATCCTTTCCCCCGTTTCCCCCCTAAGGCCTTTTCCCCCCAAGATCTCCACCCTTCTCTTCCCAAAGTCTTTTTCCACCTTTCCCGTTCGAGATCCTGTCCCCCCATTGCCCCGTAGGGCCTGTTCCCCCCGAGAAAGATGTCCCTTTTCCTCCCAAAGGTCTTTTCCCCCCTTTCCCCCTTAAGGCATTTTTTCCCCAGATCTTCTCCCTTTCCTCCCTGAGATCTTTCCCCCCCTTTCGCTGTTGAGATCCTTTCCCCCTTTCCCTTCCCTAAGATCTTTCCCCCCCTTTCGCTGTTGAGATCCTTTCCCCCTTTCCCCCCTTCATTTCCTTCACCAGCATGGGCAACATCCCCAGCATCACTTGCATCATCCGCATCCTTGGCAGGCGCTGATGCGGATGATGCAGGTGATGCTGGCGATGTGCCGCTGGAGCTGCTAAGGATGCGAAAGCGCACCCGGGGGAATCGAACACCCCAATGTTTTTGACAAACTGAGTTGCGCAAGCCCGCACAATGAACAGATTTAGTGAAGCGTCTTCGAATCACCGCGTGGTACGTGGACCCCCCCCCCCCCGCAATAGGCTGCTGGGGAGGGTTAGGGGAGGGGTAACAGGTAAAGAGGTAAGGAGCATTTTTTGTGTCCAGCACGCCGTCTGTTGTCGGCGGATATCCCACGCATGTCATGAGGGCACTTGCAACCATGGTGGGGTATAGCCATGGTAAGTATTCACCTACAACATGGTGAAAGTAGATGACAAAGTTCCTTTGTTGACAAGGATGACTCAAATGGATGGAATTGTGCCATGTACATCCACGCACTTTCACGTAGCAAGTACCCTGAGCCAGCTTCTTCCCTTGACTTCCACTAAAACCAACCTGAAAAGGTACGTTCCGAAACAAAGCCAAAAAAGACCATGCAATAGAAAAACAAGCAACAAATACAACTGCTCAAAAAGACACGTTTTGTTTTGTTAAGGATCCCACCAAAAACAACCCGGGGGGAAAAGAAAAGCACAACGTGCCCACCTGGTCTTGGCGTGTCCCATTCGAGGTCTCGCCCGCCGCGCCGCTGGGAACCTTGGAGCCTCCGCGAGGGCGTCAGATGCTGCGGAAACTTGGGGCCTCCGCGGTGCTTGCGCCGGACACAGAGGCGGGGGGCTGGGCTGGGGGCTCCGCGTCGGGTGGGGGGTTCTGGGTGTGGTTCTGGTGTCGTTGGGGAGCCCTTGCCTGTGGATTTCTGTTTTCAGGTCTTGAACATGTTTTAAAACTTGCAGATTGTTGAAGATGATTCCATTTAAGCGCCTTACCTACTCTGTACATCGACCAGAGGCTACAAGCCTTGGAGACCTGATGCGTTTATGGTCACGACCGGGTGTGTGAATAAGTCTTGTCCTTCGTTAGGGGTTCTGGTTCGCATTGAATTCAAGATGGTTCCATTGAAGCGCATTGTCAAGTCCGATAAATGCGGAAGGAGTCTACTCAGGGGAAAGCCCTAAAGTAGGTCATGTCCTTGCTAAAAGGGGGGCGGACCACCCCGGAGTTGAGCGAAGCTAAAGTTAGTCGGTAACCAAATCAATCCACCCTTTTAAGACGCAAAAAAGGACATGGCGAACGTATACTGGTAGCTGGGATTTGCCGGAGAAGGTACCCGTTTTACCCTGTTTCAAGGGGAAACCAACAGGAAAGCCACCATTTTCAATCCCCCGTGTTCTGACACATGCTCGCATGAGCGGCGTTTTCGTTTCCCTCCCAAGGAAAATGTCTAGAGGTGGAGATATCAACAACTAAGGTAGCACCACACTGCAGCCGCGGAAAGTTTGCGGATGTGTTTTTTTTTGCCCGCGGAAGCTCGCGGGAGGCAACAGGTTGATTTCTCTGGGATTACTAGGGGATCATGCACACCATTTCCCTCAAAGCTCCTTTCCTCAATTTCCGGATCAAAAATCGAACATGCTCGCGGGAGGTATCATTGACAAGCTGCGCGGAAGGGGCTGCGTGCAATCAAATGTCAAGGGAATCCAAACAACCGCGCATGTGAGAACAAACGCTTGCAATCCCGGGTCTGGTGTGGGTTTCCAAGGTACTGCGAGCCGGGCAGGCAAGCAAGCACACCTGTGCTCCCGTGTCACTAGTGTAGGGGTCAAAACACTTGGTCATGGACATGACATGGGACCCTTGGGAGTTTGTGTTTATGCCCAAGGTGAGAAGCCTTCGTGTGTTGGCAGAAGGGACCCCTTCGTGATCCTGACGCCCAAGGTAGTTTGTTCTTTTGCCCAAACGTTGGGCTGGGGTCGAGCCAAAACGGGTGGCGCAGGTGGGCTTATGCCACAGAGAAGCCGACGAGTCGGCTTCGGCCTCGGACTCGTGCTCACGCGTGTGGTCAAAACACCTGACACCTTATCTGGGATTTGGTGTTTTTCTTGAAGGTACCCCTTGTTGGTCTGTTTTAAAGGGAAACCAAAGGAACACTACCATTTTGGGGTGGGTCCCCTAAAAATAGACACACACACATGCATACACACACACACACACACACACACACACACACACACACACACACACACACACACACACACACACACACACACACACACACACACACACACACACACACACACACACACACACACACACACACATTTAGACGATGATAAGGATATAGACGGCCCAAATTAACGGCAGGAACCCAAGGGGGGTCCATTTCCCAAAAATGTCCTTTACAATTTGTGTTTTGTTGGGTGCTACGTTAATCTGCAGGGGAGCGAGTTACTAAAGGAGCCAAGGCTCATGTACAGTTGAAAGTAGATGGCACAATTCCCCCATTTTGGTTTATTCATCCGCTGTCCTCACCAAAAAGGGGATGGTCTATCTACCCTGGTGTGCTATGGTCGCAACACCCATTTACTTGGGGTAGGTAGGGATGGTTATGTGAATTTGGACCGCCATGGGTTAGGGGGCGCCCGTTATAGAGAGTTTTAGGCGGTCATCGTAAAAGGCTCCAATTTAGGGAACCATGGCCACGACCCAATTCACTGTGCGGAGTTGTGTTTTCTCCGGTACACATGTGTCGCAAGCTCGGGCTTGCGAAGGTGGGTTTGATTGGGAACCCCATTGATGCCTTGTCCATTTCAAGGTTCGCTACCTGTAGACCACAATCAAACAGTCAACCATATTGTTTTTGGTTGGCGGCAAAACTGCGGTAGTTCTGTGTGTGTGTGAAGGAATGCCATCAGCACAATGACTACATGGAGCCGCAATCAAATCCGGGTAGATGAGGTGCCTTCGACGCCTTGTTAGTTCTTTGCATCACTCTGGACAGACCATTTCAATACCGGGTTTTGGTTATAGCTCATTTGTCCAAAGAGGGTCACCACCCAGCACTTGTTGTTTGCTCACCCTGGCGGTAAAACCAACTCATTTATTCAGTGGGATCCTCTAAATGTGTTTCTGCTTGGTGATTCCCTCACAACACTGCTCAATGCGAAACAGTCTGATGTTCTGCCAAGTTTTTAAGTTTTCATGCCTAGGTCATGACCCAGTTCTAAGTCTACTTTAGTGGATTTACCCGTGTTGTTAGTCAACTTGGCCTTGCATCCAATCCAACAAACGGATCCCATACCAGGGTCACCATGCAACTGGGCCCCTGACTTAGTCTACAAAAACTACTTTGAGAATGCTGTAGTCTTACGTGGCTTCTAACCTACTTAAAGGGACAGGGCACTTCGTAATTGGGTTAAAAGGCATGGTTATAACCCACAAAAGACATGGTTATAAGTCTTCGTTCAGTGGGTTGTAGCCAGGCTTACTAACCACCTGCCAAGTATTCGATCGCCCCTGAAGTAAACGATTCCCAGAAAGAAAGGGGCAACTGAGTGAAGGGCGCAAGCTTTGCACCCAGGAATCTGAAGAGACAGAGCCAGAGACGCTCGAGACCCCGAGTTTCGCCCAGGGCCCAGCGGAAGGCTGAGGTTTGTTTGGCCCTTCTCTCGGCTCAACGGCTCCCAGGGTTTCCCCTGGTTGGTGGGCTCCACAAAACAATGGTCAACCCTCACCAAGGATTCCCTGCTGGCCAGGGTGATTGTGCAACTGGTTCCCGGCTGAAAATGGATCGCTTTCCCTACCGTCGCTGGGCAACTGGGATTTAGCAGATGTTTGGGCCCGCAGCTGCGGATTGGCCAAACCAGGCTGATGCTCCCAGCTGGAAGCTCTGCTGGTAATGTTCCATGGTTGTGTGGTCGCGTGTGGTTGGTTTCCTTGCACTATGTGGGGCCTCTCGTCCCTTCTTGCGATTGCCCATTCGCCCCAAGGTTTAAGATGATTTCTCATGTGAGAGGGCTGCCGCAGAATCTCATAGAAGTCAGTTCGGCCACAATCAACGCCCAGGTAGATGAAGGGCAACAAGGGACAGTGGAAGCAAACAATTGGTGCGGATGTCCGCTGCTTTGGTTCTTTACATTGTTGTGGGTAGACCATTTCAATACCAGGTTTTGATATGTTTTGATGATGTGCTTTCCCTGCAACCCAGCCGTTTGAGTATGTATTGCCGGTAGCATGTGGGTATGTGTGAAACTAGGGGGCCCCCCAAACATGGTGGTTTCCTGTTAATGTTCCTTCAAACCAGCTAACCAAATGGCACACCCCCATGTCAACGCCGCGTAAAGTGCTATTGCAAAGGGCTGTCTTTGGCAGCTCTTTGACACCGGGCCACAAGAACAAATGGTGCAAACAGAAACAATAGGGCAATGGTGAATCTTAGGGTTATTCCCGACCAGAAATCAAAGCAGCAATAAGCCCGTGTAGTTTTTGACAATGGTTGCTGTTGTTTGGTACCAGGTTTTCCATGCGTTTCCTATCTGGATGTTCGGCCAAGTTAGTCAGTGTTGTTAGCCACTTGTGCAACCCACTAATAACAGGGTTGACTCCGTTTAGGGCGACAAAGTGTACCAAAGGTATGGATTGTCAACTGGGTGACTTGGCCGACCACCCAAGTGCTGGAACTTTCTTGCGAGTCATCTCAAGACTGGGCTGCTCAAAGGCAATCCTTAATGCTTACCTTGAGATACGAAAATGGTCGCCTTAGTGGTTTCCCAATCTGGAACGGAGTGGCCAGGCAGCCAGGCATCCCCTTCTCACTCCCTCAATTTATGAACTTCAAACTTCTGTGAAGACCATTTTAGTGGTAAAACGGACCAGTTCGGACCTTCTTTTTGGGCCAATCCGCTCGATCAGAAGTGACTTCGTGGCTAGGGAATGTCGGAGCGACTTGTTGAACCTCCGGACCTCAGGACGTGAAGTCGCGCGAGGACTTGGACAACTTGCCGCGCCCTCGAGCCCGGGGGGGTTTTTCGATGTCACCGATGGAGCCATTGGGACCGCTAAATCGTGAGGGTTCTCCCCAACACGAACTCTTGAGAATGCAAGTTGAGGGGCAGAAAAGCAGGGTTCCTTTCCAACCTATCACAGTTCTCACAATGTGGATAGAAAGTCATGCACAACTAGGTCCCCCAGAAGTGCCCTTTTACCCTTTTGTGGGGGAGGGTTCCCCTACTAAAATAGACTACGAAAAAAAGGGTACCCTTATTCTAATCTCTCTACTGGAGGACCCAGACAAGGGTGGGCAGAAAAGCGGGAATCATCTAGCTTGGCCTACTGACCAGGGCACAGATTCCATTCATTGGATACCGGGATAGGCTATCCATGTGATGCCTTTGCCACTTGCACAGGGGTACCCATTGAACGTGCTGGGCGGTCATCTTCACATTGGGCCTGTTTCTGTGGGGTTGGCGCAGCTTCGCCAGGTTTCCCAAAGCTTTGGTTGAGCACATATTAGGCGGTCCAAGATGAAGCCAGAGTTGCAAAAGGGAAGCGCTTTACCAGGTGAGCTCGCCATGATACGTCATGATTCCGTAGATAGGGTCATAGTCAAGGGGTTTCCATTGTTGGGACTACATTTGCTTCCCAGAACATTGCAAATTAACCAAGCCGTTGTGATTCGCAGGGCTTTCCTTGCTCCCTACCGGCACTGATGTTTGCCCGGAACCTCGCTAGTGAGACTGCTCAGGCCCAAAATACATGGAATGAGTTATTGGGTTAACTTAGTAA